ACAAGAAAGCTGTGATTACTGAAAAGCTAGTTTTGGAGACATGTGAATATGCTCACTCCCTTTACTACATCAACTAAAAATGATATACTTTCACTCTCTGGCAATTATGGCTAGGACTGGATTAAGACAGTTTGAACCTTAATCTATATTAAGTGTAAAAATAATTCCACATAATAATAAAGGTTCACATTCTATTCATAAAAAAGATTACAGATGTTGGAGTGAGGAAAGCCTCTAATTTGCATATATGTACAATTACATTAAATTAACTGACAGGGGTAAATGGAGACAGAGTACAAAGGGGAAGAAGGTGAGTCTAAAAAAGAGGAAGAACTTCCCATCAGCTGGGCTTGCATTTAGATGACTCTGTAGGCACTTAAAATATGTTTAGTGTCTCATTCATTAATTCATTATTATCAATTAACTATTGAGTTCAGCTGGTGTTGTGGCATGTATCTGTAATCCCAGACCTGAGGAAGGAGGCTGAGGCAGGAGGCTCAAGAGTTAAAAGGTCTTCCCAGACTACGTAGTGAGTTCAACACCAGCCTGGGCTACAAGGCAAGACCCTTTCTCAAAAAAAAAAAAAAATTGAGTTCCTTAAAAATATAATAACAATAATAACTGCCAACACTAATTGACTGTTGCTATCTGCTAGACACAGTGCTATACACTTTATGTACCTTAGCTATCATATGTATACATTAAGGTAGGTCCTATCATTATTCCTATTTTATTTCCAATGTGCATTTTGAGGCACAGAGAGATTAAATGCTAGTAGTTCATCAGCTAGTAAATGGCAGAGTCAGGATCTATTCTTGAACGTTATGGTGCGTACCATTCATTAAGATAGCCTTTAGGGATTTAAAAGTAAATATGACAGGGTCTCTGGTCTCAAGGAGGTCACAGACTATTAGGAGAGAGAATGTATAGAAATAATTGCAGTACAGCATGATTAAACACTACAATAAAGCTATCTAGAGTATGGTGATTACATCAAGAGGAATGATGGGAGTGAAGACTTGATGAAATTTCAAAGTAGACCCTGTTAAATTAAAGGATGAGGTGTTTTTGGTCAGGTCTAGTGAAAGTAAACAACATTCCAGGTAGAAGGAGCAGTGGTTACAAGGGCTAAGCAAATTGTGGTTTGGGGTAGCATCCTGGGGAGAGAGGGCAGGGAAAGGAGGACAAGGATATGCCAGGCAGGTGGAAGAAGGTGTATGGAATTCTAGACATTTTTAATATGTTTATTTTCTGATAGGGCATGTCTCCATTAACTATTCAAAGAGAAAATAGGGCTGGGTTATGGCTTAATAGTGGCATGCTTGTCTAGCATGCACAAGGTCTTAGGTTCAATTCCCAGCACAAGAAAGATAGAAAGAAAACAGCCAACCCACTAACAAAATTCACTATGTAAATATGTAAACATACTCTTTTTTTTCTGCAATAGTTATGTTGCCCAGGCTGGCCTTGAACTGGCAATCCTCCCACCTCAGCCTCCCAGTTAGCCAGAGTTACAGGCATGTGCCACCATATCTGGCTAAAAATTTTTATTAAAAATTTTTAAAATTAAAAATTTTTTTTTAAACTTAAAATTTTTTAAATTTATTAAAATTTTTTAAAATTTAAAGGATTTAACCAGGGGCTGAGGATGTAGCTTAGTGATAGAGTGCTCGCTTAGCATACATGAGGCCCTAGGTTTGATCCCCAACACAGGAAAAAAAAAAAAAGAACTTATCCAACCAATACTTTTCATTTTGGGACTATCATTTTCAGATCATGGTATACGTGAATTTGTTATGCTGTATAAAAATCTTTTTAGCTATTTTGGCATAAATAACTGGCCCAGGTGGTTATCTACCCCATTGCTAGAATAAAAATCCTGGTGTTCAAAATGGAAGTAACAAGGCAGGCAACATATGTTACAGAATCAACTCTTAAGGTTTCTGTCTGTGAGGTACATGTTATGCAAGCTTTGAAAGACAAACTCACTTGGAGAGGTTTTCTACCTTAAAATGAGTCTTCACTGAGGCCTTCTGAGTCCTGTAGGCCTCACAAAGAATGGACCTGGGGCAGGTGGGTAAAGCCTTCCTTTAGGGTTTTCCCCTTTTAGTCTTCAAGCTCATCCTTCTTCCCTACATGGTCGACTAATATCATGAATTTAATTGCTGACAGTTATGGAGGGAGGTGGCATTGTTTCTAGTATGAATCTATAAGGCAATATGATAATCATATGCTAAACAAAAATTCTTTACAATGACAATATTATGATTTTAATAAAAAAAAGTTTGTTCCCTCACAGTTTTTCCTTATTTGAAGGGTAATTATTAAAGTTCATTTTAGTTTCCCATCCTTTATAATCAATCATTTTGAAACTTATTTCCAATTTCCTTCTGTTGTATACAATGGTGTAATAAACATCTTTTATATATAATTTTTTCTTATGTTATTTCCTTATACAAATTCTCAGGAGTGAAAGAAAAAACAGCATTTATAACTCTTCTTGTGTTTTACCATGTTGTTTTCTAAAAAGGTAACACCACTTGTCGAGGCACCCGAAGTATATGAGTGACCAATTTAATTGTCTCTTCACAAGTATTGGGCATTACAATTCAATAAAAATTTTGCTGATGTAATGGTAGTAAATTATTGACTCAAGTTTATTTTGATGTCTCATTCTTTGAGGAATGAGAAATGGTCATTTCATAGGTTTCTCATTACATATAAAAGAAACATTTCAAACATGGCTTAAATCAAGTGTAGTGTAAATAGGTACAACTTAAAAATATAAGGCTTTATACTTTATCTATTTTTATCCTTTTTTTTGCTGTTATGGGGATCAAACCCAGGGCTTCAGGCATGCTAGGCAAATGTTCTAGCACTGAACTTAATCTCCAACCTAGAATTTATCAAGTTTTATTAACCATTTCAATAAATTTTTAAAAATCCCATGAGTTGAAGTGATAATTACATAATCATAAAGTTTTCTTTGATCCTTCTGAGAATTCAAAGGTATATTTATAGTTTTAATCTGTGTACCTATTATTGGGTTCTATATTTTTCATTTTGATATTACTCACATTTTTATGCACTGAAACAGTATACTTATGTTTTAAGTTTAATTTATTGATATACAATGTAATTTTCCCAAGAAAGAGCTGCACCAGAATGGTTATTTAATTTTTTTTCACTATTATAAATAGCACTGCTATAAAAACTTTTGTACATACTATTACCTTCTGTCTCAATTTTATTTTTCTTTTTAATTACTGGGCAAAGCATATGGCTAGTTTTATTGTTTTGTTAACATACTGAAATTATTTTTAAGTGATCAACAAAGTTCTTGTTTTAAAATAGGCACGTCAATTGAAAGTAAGGTGCTTTCCACTAGAACAGAAATATCTATAGTGAATATTTTAGAAAAGGAGAAATGGCAACAGCAAAACAATTTTGAAAATTATTTTAAATCTTTCTTTTAAGAACGAGGTTATATTTTGTATTTACCACTTGTCTTGGACTGTGTTGCTATAACAAAATACTATAAACTAGAACATTTGTAAATAATAGAAATTTATTTCTCACAGTTGTGGAAGTTGAGACGTTCAAGATCAAAGCACCAGCAAGTTGTGTCTGATGAGGTTGGCTCTCTGCTTCCAAGATTGTACTTTGCTACTGCAAAGAAATGCTGTGACTTCAAAAAGGGGACAAAAAAAGGGTGGATACTCTCTGTCAAGTACTCTTATAAGGGCACCTAATCTTATTCATGAGAGCTCTGCCCTCATGACTCAATCATCTCCCAAAGGCCACACCTCATAATACTGTTGAATTGGGGATGAAGTTTCAACATGAATTTGGAAGATTTAGAAACATTCAAATCACAGTGCCAATCATTGGGAAAAGTGCAGTTAGAAGGGAATCTAGAGGTCATTAAGGTCAACTCATTAAGTTCTCTACTCCTTAGTTTTCGAATACACAAAAAGTGTATGGTAATAAGGCTGTTGTGGAGACTCAAATAGATAAGATATGTAAACCACTTAGCTCATTGTTTAGTACATAGTCAATTACCTGTAAATATTAGAATATAAGTGCGGTGGTTAGATACCATATTGAAAGTTTATATTGTATTTGTCCACTTATCTTAGTTTCTTTGGCATTTATATCCCAGGCATTGTGCCAGAATATAGAACGCAGAAGTGAAGACAATTCAACTGTATTTTCACGAAGCTTTTGTTCTAAGATACAGACAATAAACAAATATGCCAAGTTAGGTGGTGGTGGTATGGGAAATAAAGCAAGGTGGGGACAAAGTAGGGTATTATGTGGGTATTCCTACAGGATAATTGATGTTTAGGCAAAAACCTGAAGGAAGGGAAATTGTAAAAAGGTTTTCAGACAAATTACTTGCAAATAACGGTTATAATTTTTAACCATCAATTAACTAAAAAATTTTTTTGGTTAAAAATTTTCTTTCAGATATTGGTAGTAAGAATATGTAGGCCTGAAATGTATTCTTAATCAATATTCAAAATAACATATTGAAACACAGTGCTAGTAAGGTGCTGAAATAGGTGCAATCATCAGTATTAATAGTTAATTACTACCTTTTAATAGTTCACTTAAAAAAATAAGCAACACTTAATTTTTTGAATGGATAACACATTCATGTACTTCAAACATCCTCACAGTTCCCATTGTTTCCAACAGATAACATTTACTAGTATTTTAATCCTTCCAAAGACTTTTTTTTTTGGCGGTACTGGGATTTAAATTCAAGGTTTCTCCTTACCAACTCCAGTCCCGAAAGACTTTTTAAAAACACGGATATATGAGCCAACAGATGTACTTAAGGAAAAACATTGCACATTTAGCGATATCTTTCTAGGAGCTTGTATCTTAAAAACAAATCTATTACATTTCCTCAGGTCTATGGACCGCCAGAAAGACCGGAAGTGCCCTCGTCCAGGAACCTATGAACCGGAAGCGTTTGCTGGAGCCGGTGCCGTAGCGGAGGTACCTCGGTGGCTGCTGGCTTGGGCTTTGCGGAGCATAGTCAGGTTGTTTAGAACTTTCCACCGCAAGACGCTACTAGTCGGGCTGCCGGTCAGTCATGGTTCTCTTTCTGTTGTTAAAAAGAAGCTGCATTGTGCTATATGTGTACCTCGGGCGTTTGTTTCGTTTTAAATCTCCCTTTGCATTATGAACACTTTTGTCAGGAGGCCGGACTTTCTTGTGAAAAAACTTATTAAAAAGCCCGCTGCTCAAAGTTTGCGACATTTTGAACTCTTGTGAGGGAAACAACTTTCTTGGGTAGCTATTACCGGGGGACTATGTGAAGTAGAGTGCGGAAATTCTAGTGCGATCAAGCCTTCCTGCCACGGAGCGCGTAGCTCGCAAGGAAAGTTCTAGATTGTCCTTTCTTCTTCCGGTAACCTTTGTGTGTCCTCAGGTGGGGTTTGGCTCTGTCCCCGAGGCTGGCCTCCTGCCTCGGTCTCCCCACAATGATTTTATTTTTTAGAAAGACTTTGTACAGAGTGGGGTGCTGGCGCCCGTCACCCCAGTTGCGCAGGCCTAGGCGTCCCCTAAAATGGAGACGCTATCTGGAAAATAACTAGAGCAAAAAGGGGTTGGGGCACCTGCCTGGCGAGCGGGAGGCCCTGAGTTCAAATCCCAGTGCTGCTAAAAAAAAAAGCAACGTGCTTAAATGGAATGAGTCTCTGGGAAGAAAGCTGCTGTCTCGCTAGTCCCCACCAGGCTGAATTGTGGATTTATTTATGTTATATTATTCTGAATTGTAGATTTAAATTAGTGTCATTGCCTCAGCTTTCACTTTGCTTTTGGAAAAAAAAGCTCGGCGGTCACTTGAAGGGCTTATGGGCACCTTTATAATCACACTGCATTTGGAAAGACAACGTGAAGAGTCGACTAAGAGTCTTCCACTTAGACGAGGAATTGAAATTCTCTGACGTTTGATTGCTGTTTTGCCTTGGTCGTGGCGCATTCCTGTAATCATTTGAAGGTGCGACCCTACGGAAATACTCGAATGTGAGAATCAGAATATACTCTGTAGTCCTTCAGTTCTTCTCTCCAGCCATTTCTTCTGCCCATTTGAGTGCTCATGTAATGCTCCCTGGTTTCAGGTTGGCCTGAGGTAGTAGCTGAATCCTGAAAAAGTAGACTTGCTACTCTGATCACTTAGGAAGTATGCGAATGTACCTTGAGGAAGTAGCTTAGTTTTTGTGCTAGGGTGATGTCAGGAAGGAACGTGGGTACTGAGTGGACTGTTCGACCGTAGTGCCACTAGGCGGCAGCATAGTGTTTGTAGTTTCTTCAGCTCTGTGCCCTAGCCCTGCTCATGCTGCGATGGCGTCACTCTGAGAGGGATAGATGTCGTATGCCGAATGTTTATTGCAGCGCCATGGCTTGGACTAAATTGCTTATGTGTATTACCCATTTTAATCGTAAGACAAACTCCAAGCCCTGCAGCATTGGCATTTCTTTTACTCTCTTTAGACGTATATCCAGCGGGAGAGATTAAATAACTCCGTAGCCAATAAGTGGTGGAACCAGACTTTGTGAAACCCAGGTGTTTAACCACTACTCCTGCCAACCAAATTAAAGTTATTGTGAGTTTGATCAAATTGTAAAGGTGCCACAGTTAAGACGAAAAGTAACATTATGGGTATTCAGAAGGAGGTGAGAATAGAACAATGGTTTTATACAGTGTGCCTCAAGACATTTGGGGATATGTGGTTTCCAACAGGTAGCATGTCCCAAATTGGGGTCCTAAGGAGCACTAGTCCTGTGAGATGATTAAAGTTTCCTGTGGCTAGAAATGCCCTAGGGAGTCACTAAGTTAGGCTCTGAAACTGTCCTGCGGTAAAGGAACATGTCATGGTTTTGTGTGTTTTTTTTGTTGTTGTTGTTTTTTGGTGGGACTGGGGTTTGAACTCTGGGAAAGGAACATGTTTAACCCAACTTTTTTTTGAACTCATGGCATTCCTAATTTTTTTTATTATAACTCACATTAAGAAATACATTTTAGGGGCTGGTAGAGTATGAGGCTCTGGATTCAATTCTCAGCACCAAAAAAAGAAAAAAAGGCCATTTTACATGCAGGCTAAAATAAAATACACATGAGGCTATGATTACCTTCACCACGAACAATGTATTCTTGCATTTTCTACTTTTTTATAGTCCTTTCATATAAAGAATTTGTGATCAGGACTCATTACAAAGATTTCTTGATTTATGAATGAGCCATAACCTGTAGTTTTAATGCACTAGACCAAAGGATCCTGTTTTTTGTGGATTACTTACTAAGGGAACACACTTTGGGAAACTGTAAGGGGCTATAGTTGAAGGGAGCAATTAATGTAGTGGTAAATATCTTTGTTGGCAGATTAGGTTTTTCTGTCAGTTTTTAGTTATAGTTGAATGAAACAGTTTTTCTACTGGGAAATTATTTTACATAATCAAATTAGGCTATGCCATTAGTGAAGTACGAACATAGACCCATTTTGTAGATTAGAATTTGCCAAAGTATGTTCTTTAGGATATTTGTTTCCCAGAATGTTTGCTTGCCTTGTGGGTAAAAAGGTGTTTATGGTTAAGGAAAACTTGGGAAAAATGTATTCTTAAGGTTTGTTTCCCTCTTAGAGTTTTATAAACCTTTAATAAACATGAAACAGTTAATGAAAAAATAACATGGCAACATTATAAATTGGTAAAATTACAAAATTATGTGGAGTAGGCAATAAGGAAACAGGGCAATGTACACAATAAGATACAAATCATACAATCTGGACAGTAACGGTAGTTCAGAAAAGGAAGTTGGAGTACAAAGGATTCATAAGAAAAGCTTCACATGAGAGAGAGAATTTCATCTGTTTTTTAAAATATGTTTAAACAGAATATAGGGCAAGACATCCTCTATGAGAAAGCAGAACATGTGAAGGTGTTAGCTCAAGTTCCTTAACATGGCCTAAAAGACCCCCTAAGACTTGCCTGCATCTTGAGCCTCATTTCATCTTTCCCTAGTCTCACATGTTAGACTCCAACCTCCCTAAGCTGTTTTTAGTTCCTCATTTTTTCTATTTGTGCCCGTGTTTATGCTCTTTTCCCCTCTAAAATAACCTTGCCTAAATTTTTTTCTTTACTAATATTTTAACTTTTAAGATTTTTAAGTCTTAGCTCAGAAGTCAGTTTCCCCAGAAAGTCTGACCTTCCCACAATGTCCCTGATTTTCTTATGCTGGTTCAGAAATTTCTTCCTTGTGGTACCATAGTAGTCTCTACCACTGCACATGATCACATGGTATTGTAATTATTTTTGCATAATTATAATTGTAAAAATATGTTTCTCTACTAGAGGTCCTTGAGGACATGTCTTTATTTTATTTTATTTGAGACGGAGTCTTGCTGTTAGCCCAGGTTGACCTCAAACTAGTGATGCCCCTACCTCAGCCTCCTGAGTGCTGGGTGCTGGAATTACAAGGATGTGTCTCCATGCCTGGCTTCTGTTTTCTTTTTTTTCCTCCTAATCATTACATTTTGGATATATAAGGGGCTCAATAAATGTTTGTTGAATGAATAAATGGATGTATTCTTTTTTTCTTTGTTTCCTTTATTTGCTTACATTAATATTTTCAGACTTTAAGGTATTCTTTAGTTTTGGTATTTTGAAGTTTAATAAGATCAGGTTTATGCTTTTTTTTTTCTTTGAGATGGGGTTTTGTTATGTTGTCTTGGTGCCTTGAACTTGCAATCTTCCTGTTCTCTGTCTTCCAAGTAGCTGGGACCACAGGCATGTGGCACCATGCTTGGCTTGTTTCTGAGATAAGGTCTTGCCTCTTTTTCCTGAGATGACCTCTAACCACCATCCTCTTATTACCTCTGCCTCACATGTAGCTGGGAGACTAATAGATAAGGAGCTTCCATGACCAGCATAAAATCCAATTTTTATAGAGTTACATGTGGCACCATCTAATCTGTTATTGTACTTATAACCGTTTTTACAATCAGGCTATTTACAAATTAACAACAAAATATAAACCTAGTTTATATTTATATTAATGAATGAGACTTGGGCCCTGGAACTTTGAATTCTGAAATGCTTAGAGCACCATTTAAAAAAATCCACCATTTCTCTTCTATCATGCCTAGTGTTATCATGTTTGGGGTTACACTCACTTGACTATATGCAATATCCTTTTTAGATTAAAAATATCTTGGGAGTAAAGACCATTAACTCAAATTTGTATCATCTGTATAATTTCTTGAACAGAAAGATTTAGTGAATTATTCATATTCCTTATTATCTCTATATAAGAAATCTAACTTGAAAAAAAAAATCCAGGGACTGGAGGTATAGCTCAGTGGTAGACCACATGTCTAGACTGTGGGTTCTAGACACAGTCTAGAAAAAAAAAATCCAGGGACTGGAGGTATAGCTCAGTGGTAGACCACATGTCTAGACTGTGGGTTCAGTTCCTAGCACCACACACACAAACATACCCACCCAGGCATGGCGGTGTAATTGTAGTCCCAGCAACTTGGTTGGCTAAACAGGAGGATCCCTTGAGCTTAGACGTTCAGGGCCAGCCTTGGCAAAATAGCACAATCCTGTCTCTTAAAAAAAAAAAAAATCTGGCTGGGCACCAGTGGCTCATACCTGTAATCTTAGCTACTCCGGAGGCAGAGAACAGTAAGATAGCAGTTTGAAGCCAGCACAGGCAAATATCTCTAAAAAACCCATCACAAAAAAATAGGGGTGATCGAGTGGCCAAAGTATAGCCCTGAGTTCAAACTCCAGTACCGGAAAAAAAGCAATCTATATATAAACACCGTTCCATTTCTTTCATCACATAATTGCTCTTCTCTAGGTCTTTTCTAACTGTTACATCTTTTTAAAAGTTTTATTAGTTACAGGAGCCACTTTGATTGCATATGTTACCCTCTTTGATTCATGGTTTCCAAGTACCCTTCCACCTTTTCCAAAAGATATGAGTAATTTCTTACACTCAGTGTGATACGTAATGCAGCAAATGCTGAGTGCCTGGCTTTTGTACAGTATTACATTTGTCAGTGTAAGAATAAAAGGTG